AAAATGCCTACCCGCTCGTGGAATTTCGCGTTCCCAGGGAAGACTATGTTGAAAAGGATGACTAATCTTGGGAAGCTGGCTAGCCTTATTCGCCGAATGGCATATATAAGTCGAATAGGCAAAATTGCACACCAGTGGGAAACATATCTAGATGCATATCTAGCATAGCAGCCATGACATTTGAATAAAGAGAGATAACAACGTCCATCTCTACCCCTTCGCCCCGGTCGTCGGGCCTGCTTTCCGGAAAAGTTTCTGAAGTACGCCTTGAGCTTGCCCCCCCCCCCCCCTGCTGACTTTTGAAATGATCCTACGCCTATGTCAGGTATTATCAGAGCCCTTCATCAGGTATTATCAGGGTTCTCATATCAAAATTACAATGATGTGAGTACGATTGGTTGGGAAAATCGGTTTCCATTGAGTGGATGATTAAGTGAATAGACTTCAGGCAGTGCACACGGCTGTCTGGTTATTGCGACATCGCAATTATGGGTAATGGGTGTAGATTTGAAGCCTGATGTGAAGAGAACGCCGACCGTGTCTGCAAGTAAAGGCAATCATACCAGCCAGTGTAGTTCATGACAAACTGCACGGCCTGTTCCAGGTGACCGCTTTTTGAGCGGTTATAATGACAGAATAGAACCACAAGTTGCGTCACAGTATTAACCCGTTTTCCTTTAAGGTGCGTGCTACGTCCATCTCATAGCGCACACAAAGCGCAACACAGAACAAATCGTGCACCGTTGACGTGAGCAAGGATTACGACAGCGACCTCTTCCAAACTTTCGGAAGTAAGTGGGTAAAAAGGCATTGAATAGAATATGACCGTGTGTTTGAGGTGCACCCATGGAAACAGGGATGAGCCCGAACAGACTCTCCCCATGAACCGCAGTCTTTGACCCGAAACTGTACAGTATTCGCTTGCACTTTGTTAAGGAGCTCGCCGGCGTTTTGCTCGGCTGAGTCCCGCGAAAACCACTGGACACGAGTGATGCGACGAACAGAAAGGCCGTCGGTAATGACACAGCCATGCATTCCACCCGCTCAATATCCGCTCAAGGCGAGCCGATAGTGCGGTGGTTAACGCATATGCGTTATCACCGCGCGTATGGAGAACAGGGGGTGCGGGGCCGGATTCCCTGTGGTGCCGCACTTCTTGCCATGGTGAGAGGCAGGTGACGCCAATAGCCTCAGGAGCTGACTATGTCATAAAGCCTCAATGACGGCAGATATTTGTGCGATATGTACCTGGCTCACATCAGCCAGCCGGTCGGCCCTCCGCCACCTGCTGAGGCGTCCGGTCAACGAGAGCACGGGAAGGCCCGCTCAGACTGCACCGAGGAGCCCTGACAACCCAGACTGTTGCGAGGAGGGCCGACGACTAAGACTGTTGCGAGGAGGGCCGACGACTAAGACTGCTGCGAGGGGGATCGCCGGCTCAAACTGGTGCGGGGTGAGGCCTGGCCGTTGAGACTACTGCGGGGTGGCCCAACCGCCCAGGCTGCTGCGAGCAGGCCCGACAGCTAAGACAGTTGAGGAGATCTGATCGCCCAGACTGCTGTGAAATGTCCGAGCTCTCAGACTGCTGAGAAGAAGCCCGACCACCCAGACTGGTATGTCGCTGAGAGCCACAGCCCTTCCGCACCGGCTCAAGTGAGCAGCGCCGCACACCGCACAGAGAACGGACCACTGGTGGCAACTGGCGCCCGCCCCGCCCCCCCCCCCCCCTCACCACGTTGTAAGCTTAAAGGCCGGGCCGGGTGTCAGGGTCGGTGTCCACCGCAGTCGACCAGCGCGCTCTGCATGGGCCAGCTGTCTATCAGGCAAAAATGTCGAACAGGCGACGCGGCCCAGATGTCTGCCAGGTAAAGTGGTCTAACAGGTGATAACGCAATTACAGATGGCGGATCCAAGCAAATATACGCCATCGACAGGTCGATGGACTTCGACAGACCGCAACCTTGATCTAGCATTCACAGTTTACACTGCCACTGCGTATAATGTCATTTTCACCATTACACTGCGTATAATGTCAGAGTTCCGTGCTTTCTGCCAGCTTCCTTCCGCTATATTCATCCACCTCCTGCCGCTTGCTATTCGCTGCTGTCCGTCCCTTGGGCTGTCTCGCTGTATTACGGCTGCGCTGTCTTACAGCTGGAACCGGCCGACCAGCGTCTGACGGCTGCTGACCGCCGCCCAGGCCACGCTGGTCACCGAGTCAGCGGTGTGAGCTGTGCCTGTGCCGCGCACGGGGGCGCCACGCGACGCAGCCTTGTGGTGCCTGACCCGGCCGTGTGCGGACCGCAAGGCCAGTGGAGCGTGTCGAACGCCCCGGCCGGCTGGACGGTCGGAGCTGTGCACAGACGTCTCGCCTAGCCGCAGAGGTCCGGGGGCTGTCAGAGCTGATATGGATGGGGGGGGGGGGGGGGTGATGACGGGCCTGTATAGGGCCAGTACCCGACACCAAGACTGCTGAGGGCCAATGCCCTATATCCCGGTCGCACAGGGCCGATACTCGAACCACATCTGCGGAAGTCCAATACCCGCAGTAAGTTTGCAGAGGCCACCGCTCGGTGTCACGTCGTCTGAGATTTGACTCCTCACTGCGATCTCGGCACAGGCCCAGCACCCGCCACCACGACAGCGGTGGTCGGCTGCCCGGCACCCCGCTTTGTTCACCAAGAAGCTCGGTGTCGTGCCGCCAGCACTGTTTCTACTTTATTGAACTGCACGAAACCCAGACAATATATAACAAACAGTCATTCTACGTGGATGCCTAGATTATCTTTTGCCCAGAAGATGTGATCTACCCTAATGCACGTGGAGGATGTGCTCTACGCGCTGTTGCCAGACGGATTGAGTCTTTCAAAAGCAGGGACCTTTGGGAACAATGAAGCACGTCGGCCCGACAACCCATCCGCTTTCCCTTCCAGGCGACCCAGTCTCGGCAAGAACATGCATTTCAAGTTCGCTTTCTACAGGACTCCTTTGACCCGACTCGGCGGGAAGCGCTTGAGGAGCTCCACGTGCCGCTGACCCCCGCTTTCAGTCCGGCGCTCTCTTCCTGCGCCGTCCATCCCAATCAGCCACACCCCGACATGAAACAAGGCTCTGGTCCCAGGCCCACCGGCACATGGCGAGAGCACGTGAGCGGGAGAGAGGAAGAGAGCGAGACGTGTCTACCCGAGCGTGCGGAGGCCTTTTGACGATATCATGGGCCGGCGCCGAAATCCCGTGATCGTACGCACCGCGCCAGCGAAACGCACTTCAGCAGCCGGAAACGTGACGGTTCCGGTGTCACGCAGTGCCGCCGGGCCAACCCCGGTGACGCCGCGCTGCGCCGCGCCGCGCCGCACTGCTCGCTCGAGTCGGATGTGCCATCGGACAGTTCGGCCGGGAGGGGACCCACGCGGCGGCCACCAGCCTGCGCCCATCTGTCGCGCCGCGTCCGTCGAGGTGTGAGACCGGCCAGCCGCCGCCGCAGCATCGTCTGGAAGCCGCGCTGCCGCCGCCGGTCTGGGAACGACCGCCGCTAGCTGCCGGCTGGTGCAGCTCGGCAGCCGCAGCTGGTCTGATCCACGGCCATGTCGCACGGAACACGGATACGCGGACCTCTCTGCTTAAGTGGAGTTCATAAGAAGGTTTTCGAGCGCTCATTTGCATTTCGAATGTATAAACGACTAGATTATTGGAAACTACTGAGAAGAGAGCTGACAACAAAAACACGGTTGTGATAGCTGGAGTGGTTTGCACTCCGTGATTGTAATACCGAAATGTTAGGCTTGTGAGTGATCACACGTAATGCTGCGAAATGATGACTTTTTGCACATTTCAATTTATCATTGTTGAAGATCGTTTTAATTGGATGAAAGTGAATGAGATGTTTTGATTGGGGAGTGGTGTCGGTGACGGTGATGGCTAATTGAACTTTGCAACGCATTCCAACAAACGTCGGTATGTTGGAATACGATGTAGTAAACTGAATCAAACCGACCAACGTGTCTGTATCTTGATATGCTTTGGCTATTCGTTTTCATGTCACAATTTCGTCCGTTTGAGGCTTCTGTATTTTCTCAAGTAGAAAATGGACACAAAATAAGAAGAGCAATTCATCGAGTCCACTTTGCGGCAACGACACTTTTGACCATACTTGATAAATGACACTGAGAGCCAGCTGAATTCAAACCCTCTCCGACGCAAGGAGGTATCTGGTGAACAAGAATCGCGCCCTTGGAATAAAAAAGGTCAACTTTACGCTGTGAACCGGTTCAAGGTCCATGTCGTGTGCTTCAATAGCAGTGTCTGGCCACAATTCTGACAATCAAAAACAGTCGCGGTGAACATGAGCACAGGTGACGCCGGGCGTGGAGGTAAACATGAGCACAGGTGATGCCGAGCGTGAAGCCGGCGGCATTTTTCCTTGGCTGAATGCCGAACACGCACACATATGAACCGACTGGACAGCGCCAGTTCCAGTTCCTTATCTACTTTTCTTGAACTTCGCTCAGAAAGCTCTCAAAAAGTTGGCTTCTTGTGATAGTTGTAAGCAATTCTGCAAGGATAAAACGGCTTGTTTTGGAGGAAATATCCCCAATTCCATTCCTTCCATTCCTTCCATTCATCCATCTCTTCCGTTCCTTCCATTCATCCATTCCTTCCATTCATTCATCCACCCATTCCTTTTTTAACTTTTTTCGTTCGTCAAAAGATGGAGTTGGGTCATAAGCTAGTCTACCCAGATCATCATTATGATGGTCTTACGTTACTTTAATTTGTTTTTAAACGAAGGGCAACACCAGGTTGATCGGTGACAAGGAAGGCAGGCAGAAGACAGAATTACATTAATTATATTTGTCTGTATGATATTTGGTGTGAGACAAAATTGGTGTATCGCATTGTACATCACCCGTGATAGGTACTGATCTGGTCTGTCCGCGCTCCTGGTCCGGCCATGCGTCACACATGCATGAGGAAGTTCATGGGCACGTGCCGGTCCTCACCTGTTTCTGCTCGGCCAATGGCAGCGAGGATAGACATGAGGACGGCTGCGGTGATGCACCCGGACCCATTCATCTCGGCACGCTATCGAGCAGTCTCTGGAACACAGCAAAAGGTCACGTCAGCTGTTGTTAGGCGCAGTCATGAGGCATAAGTAATACTTCTGATCCTTATTTAAAGAGACACATTTGAAGACCACCCAAAGAGTATTCACAAATAATGCGCACAGCGAGTGATCTCGGGTATAGGACACTAGACACTAGGCAGACAAAGGACACTAGATTCTAGGCAGACAAAGGACACTAGATACTAGGCAGACAAAGGACACTAGACAGTGTCACAGCATATGAGATGCAACTGATTTTGATAACGCTTCAAACATGAAAAGCTGCAAAAACCGCGAACATCATTGTTTTACGGCAAGAAAATGGAGACCATTAGCCTGCCGGCGCCCAGCCAACCATTCCGTTGAACGACTCAGCGAGTTGGCCACATGTTCAGCGGCGAGGTGGAGAGACGCTGCTGGGGGCCTGCTGATGATGGCCTGCTGCTGTATGCTTGCAGCTAAATGCCTGCAGCTGAGGGCCTCTTCACGGGAGTATACCTTACGCGCATAAATGCATGCCGCCAGGTATCCACTGCATCGGCATGTTTGAACAAATATTGTTTTAATATGATATCTTAAGTTCCCGAACCATTTGCAGCGACCAACATCTAATCGCAAGTTCCATTAAAGTGTTTTTCGCCGCATGTGGATAAAAATAATCTACAACGCAGTCAAATAGATCCATTGGCGCAGTTTCTTATTTAACTAGGACTTCAGCCCCTTCCCCTCCTTACTTGGGCTCCAGTGACCCAACTTGAAGACAAAAACGGTTCAAATCCGGTGACAAACCTGCTTGTTGACAAATTTTGGGGTAGGTATTACTTTTCACAGTTCAGCCCCAATCTCTTCAAATTACTTTGTGGAACAACGCCCCTGAGCACAATGCGTGTTTTTGTTTGGTGGGGGCGCGGAGTTCGATGAAACTTTTTCCTGCAGAAGCCTACAAAAGTCATTTTCACGCTAGCATTATTAGAAACTGACCTGTGTCACAAATCTAAATCGCAGGAAAACTGCAATAAATTGGAGGAAAATCCAAAAGTTTATTGTCAGGTCTATTAAAATGATTGTCAAATTTATCTCCGAAAACGTTTTGTTTTGCCATCGTGTGCTTACATTTACTTTTACGTGTGCAAGCCTCGTGCGATGAGACCAAATCAGATGACATCGCATGCATAAAAAACAAACACTTGCATGTTGTTGAAGGAAAGACGCTGCCGAAGTAAGCTTTTCAGGCCAGGGCGTTAGAGCTGAAGAAAATTTGATGTGTTGTGTTGCTAATCATTATAGTTTTCGAGCACTACAAACGTTGTGCCAAGTGGGGTTTTTACACCTAATGATGCTAGCATGAAATGGGCTAATCAAGAGCTATTTTATGCCTTTCCACTTAAAGAATGTTAGTAAAAAAACTTGTTGTTATAATCTGACGCGCTAAATTTTGTCCGGAGAGATGGTTGTTACTTACAAAATATCTAGCTGCAACATACCAGACCCTGTTAACACCGATGAACGTATTTTCGCCAATTACAACACACAAGAGCAGCCATGAAGCAGCCTGTATATACCTGACGATGTGTGATCGTCAGCTGTTCCTCCTAAAAGGCGTTCGCTGTAGCTTACGTCTATGTTCGCCAGCTGTTGCGCTCACAGAGCAGATGCGTGCTCCACTAAGAGCCAGGCAACAGGTGAGCTTTCTAGACGAGCAGGACCGCGGCATGGAATAACTGGGTCGCCGTGATCTGTTACTGCTTTCCGGGCGACCAGCCAATCTCATTTGGCACATATTTTTGTCCGTTCAGAAACGCGCTGGAAGATTTAAAAATTAGGCCAAAGGAAGGCTACTGGGGGCATGGTACCTCTCTCTGAGCCAAGAGGTTTACACCAGATGACGGACGTTTTCCAGGAATATGGTCCAAATTTGCAGGGTTCGGGAGAAAATTTGACATTTTCTCCTCCCGTTGAAGAAAATTTTGCCCTCGTGCCTCGCGGCAATGCATATGACAACATAGCATATATTGACAGCAATGCAGCTTCGGCCTGATATTCGAACAAACAGTTAATTGTTTTTGACCAAGAAGGATTCAGTTCCTTTGTATCGTTTTGGGGGCTTCTCTAGAGTCGAAGACTTTAGAGGAGCATTAGCTTTCCTCTAGATTACCTGCTGAGCTTTTTTACCTGAAAGGCACCCTGGCTCAGTTTTTCGATAAAAAAAAACATAGCTTAGTCTGTTTCTTAAAGACAGATAGCTCAAAAGAGATATGCTAAGGGTTGATGCCAGATTTAATTTCTTCCACATTACATGCATAATATTGAGCATGATTTCCGATCAAATTGAGCTCCTTATGTGGGTAAGTAAGAGCAAAAACCGTGATCATGGCAAGTGCTACACATTTTCCGGTTTCTGGCTAGCCTGCTGCCTAACATTTGTCAACCTCCCTTTACCTTTTCTTATTTTGAGTGAATTGGAGTCAAACTGAGCCAGTCATGGAGCAAACCCACAGTTTTGGTTCGAATCGTTATCCAGTCTGGCCACATATGAACTGGATTAACTCGAGCTAAATGTATCCGCTTTTCACTCTGATGAATGTCAGTTTTGCGGCTTGAAAACGATAAAACATTGCAAACATTGGGAAAATTGGTCTTGACCAGTTAAGACGACGCGTCGCGTAACATACTCAACATTGGGATGCATTGATCCGAGTGAGCCCAGTCTCCTTCAAGCAGACCAGACGGCAGCAAATCGGCCTTGACTGCTCGATTCCGCTGGCTTTTGCAGTTTCGAGCTCTGCGCGGTCGAATGGAGACGGGCAGCATCCATCGCGCACGTCCTTTACATAATCAGCAATAATCTCCAGCGCTGCGACTTTCACCTTTCCTCTCTTCGGAGGCTACGTCACGGTCTGCCGGCCAAGCGGATGAGACGGCTCACAAGTGTGCAGCCGGTCTCAGCAGGTGTCTCTGCGTCCATCATCCTTTCCTCAGACTTGACCGGAAGCGGGCGAACCGGTCCAAATCAGCGGCAGTAAGGACCCGCGTGCAGGAACAGGCTGACACCTGACGCTTTTTCGTTGCTGTTTCAAGATCAGTTGGAATGAGCTTCCCTTAAGAATAAGCATCAAACTGTGCATTTTCTTACTACAGCTCGGCACTTGGGATTTACTTGTACCAATACTGCGCCGTATGTCGTCTGAGATAAGCAAGGCAAAAACAGACGCCCATTGTTATCAAGTAGACGATGTCAAAAACCGCGCTAATTGATCCACACCCTCGGCGACCGACACTTCTCTTTGATCAACGCATTGTAAATTTAACCGTTTGAAGGAACTTGATGTGGAAATATCTACTGACGTAAAATTTGCCCAGCAAATCACGAACAGTGTTGCTTAATCCTCGCCCCGATCGGGAGTGTCGATACGACCACCAATTCTTTTTCTGACGATACCTATCTGGTATGCGGTGCAATTGTGCTCAGATCATTATTAGCCCATGGGGCATATATTCCACGTGTTTTGATACCGAAAACGCGCCTCTAGCTTTTCTGATTTCGGACCAGCGGCGGTTCTTTAGGAACACTGCACGGCGATCTATGGCCTGCGCGGACGGGCCGGCGGCAGCCGACGATGCTGCGAAGCGCACGCGGCGGGCCAATATTGTTATATTAATGGAGCAGCAGATCATAGACCGAGTCCAAACACATAACACTACAAATCATTGTAATAAGAATTAAATAAGGAACACACCTGTTCAGGTTTCATGTCGTTACAAGATATAGTATCAGAGCTATGAGCATGTAAAGCTGAAAAGTTTAATTGCTGGGAATATGTGACATTTGAACTGACTTAATCGGGTCAGTTACCAGCCTAGAAGCATAAAACCTGCTATCAGCCGTGAGATCTTGTTACAAACGATCCACTGGCGCTTTTTACTAAGCTCTATCTTTCTTAGTTTGGAAACGGCAGGGGGTTGCATCAACCCCCGTATCAGTCCGCCATATGCGAAAATGGTGAGCCAGGGCGAGAGTTGAAACAAAACGGCCGCCTACGGGTCTGGTGAGGAGTCGACCAAATCGATGACCTTCGACGTCCGAGGTGAAATCTGAGAAGAAATCGGAATTTGGTGGTGGGTTATGTGAATCCACATTTGGGATAGGTCCTATCATTGGGATTGCCTCTTACAATTTAACATTCCTTCAACAGGTCTTATCTGACATCAATGCCTTAAACCCCTCTGAAACGGGCGGATCCATCGGTTATGCACGAGCGCGCGTGGCCATTTACACACATCGAGTTACACTCTTGTCAACATCTTTGCCCGTTTATCCACTGTCAAAATATTGTTTCTGTTAGACCTTAAAAAGCTCAAGGCCACTGAAAGCAGTTCAGACTGCTTTGATATTGAAATGAAATCAATGTCAATTACTATACTGGGTTCATAATGTTCACAAAAGCAAAAACTTCATCGATGTTATTTCAGGCCAGTGACCTCTGACCTTAATAAAGTCGAAATAAGACGCCCGTTGACGTCCCTGTGCTCAATAAATTCGAAATGAGCGTCAAATTCTACTCTCATGAGGCAAGTATTCCAGTGAAAAAAAATGTTTTGACCTCAGTCAAACCTTCATAGCCCAAGCCCAAGGTCAATGGAATTAGTCACAATCAGAAACTGAATTGTCTCGTTGTCTCAAAAATATCTCTAACGCGTACGGGTTCGTCTAAAACTCCGTTGTCGCATTAGATTGAACGATTTCTCAGGAACTGCCTTCGCTGGCGGCCATGGGCTGACTTTGATCTGACGAAGTCAGCAATCTCACATAGCACACCTAATTTTTATGTAAAAATATCGGCGCTTTCAGTGCCTACAGGTGTACAAAGTTTGGCGTGGCTATGCCGAACGATTCTTGAATTATTCCGGGAAAAATTCGGGGGGAGGGGGCAAATTAGCCCTCAACCGAGCGCGTGTTAGATGAGATCCGCCGGGTACGGGTACTGAGCAAAC